ATATATTTTGAACTTAATTTACTTATAAAGTAACATTCATTTGACATCATTAAATTAATCAAATCATGGATAAAAGAGATCAACTTAATTTTTAATTGCAATTTTAAGCCTTAAAACTTTAAAGTTAACCACTAGATTTGGTTTCCACTTATGATTTGCACTAAGGATGATAAAAATTAACTCCTAAACATATTAAAACCTTATTAACCTGATGAAATTCAAAATCCAATAATAACATGGGTGATTTGTCAAAATTAGGGGATACAATTCCATTAAAACACCATGAACTAACTTTTAACACATTTGATGGATTAAACACCATTATTTGGATTTAGAACTATAAAAGATACATACATATTACACCACTAAGTGTAATCGATGATCAAAATCAAACTCATATGAATACGTTGATATTCATGAATATATGGTTCTAAAATTCCCCTATTAAATTTTTATAACTTATCTTTGTCATCGGAGGTGAACTCTTATCTAGCACTAAAACATGAGAACTCCATACTAAACTCATTGAATCATATAATTACTCTTCAGTTGAAGATTTGATGAAACAATAGGATGTTTCACCATCCATAAAAGCTTAAACAATACTGATATGGAATGATTTACTATCTTACAAGCTTTAGTTTGATGATTTAGTGTTGGAGCATAAGTTGAACTTTAATTTTACTCCTATTTTCACGATATCTCTAAAATATTAGGTTTCCTTATCTTCTTCAATTTCTTAAATGTTCTAATACATGAGTTGGGGGGGGGGGATGTTAAACAATCCAACGTTTAGGTTTTTCCAAGATTGGTCCTTTAACTTTCTAATTTTTGATCTAATTCTAAGATGACTCTCTATTCACCATTCCCAGTTTTATTTTTATTTCAACTCAAAATGTTTATATTCCTAAAATATAAGTCTAAAATATAGTTAAATAATTTAGGCAAATGACATAACTCATCTTCCATAATCAAAAGTCAACTTCCATCCTTAAGATCTTTGATTTGAATTTTGACCTAAACACTAATTATTTAATTTTTTTTTTATTTTTTGATTAATATTGTTTAATTTCAATAAAAACGATTTATTTAATCAAAATTACACTCAAAGGGTAAAAGTTCTATCCCCAAATTATGGATGTTACACTCTCTTTTGGACATATATCAAGCAATTAAAGGACAAACCCCCTGAGACCCACCTTGAGAATCATCATCATATAAGTTCGTTATTAAAGACCTAATGATATCTTGAATATTCTTATGACTAGTTTCTTTGTCCATTTTCATATGAATTTGAGAAACATACTTTTCATTATTAAGTACTATCTTGAAGTTACATCCTCTACCCGCTTGAAGATACCACCACATTTGGTTATACTTGAAGAATCTTCTTTCTGGACCATTAGCTTCTCAACAAAGCTAACATCCTGACTCAAAGCAACATGATTCTCGAAAAAGGACCATAACCGCCACCCTTTGACATCATCACCATATCGTGTCTCAAATTTATTCTCCCATTACACAATCTCATCTATACCTACAAGCCTCTCTTTGGTAGGTAGAAACCTTATTCTTTATTGCTTTAGCAATACCTACATCTTGAACCTAATTTTGACCCACAATGGACATGTCTTTTCCATAAACATATCAATTACTATTTGAATAAACACCTTTTATTGTATCCCTAACCAAGATCGGTTCAATCTTTTCCACCAAATAACTTAATTTATTCACTCATTTGACCGAGTTTTTTTGTTCTTTAACACCTCTTTCTTGATCAACCAGATCTTGTTAAAACATTGAATGATCCAACATCCAGTTGCATCTAGTTCACTACTTTGAGAATTCATGTTCCCCAATAAACCAAAACCCCTCTTTATAAAAAAAAACTTATGTGAAATCAGATGGATCACTACCCAATTGAAACCTTTCACTCCTTAATCAACAACCTTTAAAATCTCAGCCAACTCTTTGTTTCTTGAATCGTTAAAGAAAGTATTGATCTCTTTGAGAATTTTCATCAAACACTTTGTGCGTACTTTAAAACTCTACACCTCAATCCTAAATTTCTTTGCAACGAGATCTCATTTTCAAGTCAAATCTACAAAATAATGATAATTCATCAAAATCAAAATGAAGCAAACCTTATTTGTCACTTGATTCGAAATCAAAAGTTTCATAAACAAGCACACAGTATTTATGTACTTCTGTTAAATTCATATTTAATTGTTGTCTCTTAATCATGATAAAAAAAACTCTCTTTTCCAATTGATCATCAACCAATTGCAGTCTTTACCCTTTACTTAAACCTTTTGAAGAAACCAGAGTCAATAACCCACAAAGTCACTATGCTCTATCAAAAACTTATTCTTCTCATGTTGTTGATACAAATTTGTTGTGCAAATTGAGTTTAACTATGTTTGTGAAATGAAAACAAAATAAAACCCTTTGTATGTTTTTTTTTACCAAATTGACATTCGCTTTTGACTTTAAGACTATTGATATAATAGCGTTATACTTGGCATTTTTCTCACATTTAATATATAATATGCGCCATAGTAAAGACGATCTAGGTCAAGGATGAAAGGTATGCAGGCTTAACTATGGTATTGCCATAGGGTTTTTCCATGATGGAGTACACGACGATGCACTAGACAATAAGTAGTGTTAACAAGGAAGAAATAACATTAGTATAGTATTTTGGGGAGAAAAAGAATTCGAAAAAAGTAAGGAAGGGGCAGGTGCAAATTTTAGAGAGAAAGAGATTATCAAAATCTATAAGACATTGACCATTTTGATACCATGTCGGATAGTATTTTCCCATGAAACGAAAACATATACATGTACATTTACGGATATTATAATAGGTATACATCATATTTTAAGAACAACATGCTAAACATAAACATAAACGACATCATTGGAAACTTTTGGTTAATGTTTTAGACCAAAGTTTTTATAGAAATTCTATGAGAAGTTGGCAAGCTAATAAATAACCTTTAGACGGAAGTAAATAATGCATAGATAGTTAGAGCTTGTTTTTCAAAAGTGTCACATTTTAATATTTTAATAGACTTATCATTATTTCATTATTTCACATGAACAGGAGGGTAAATAGGAACAAAAATATGAAAATATTTAATTTCTCATTTACATATTGTTTTGTCTTGGTTTACATCATTATTACATTAATTTCCAAATATTCTATGCAGCAGCCGGGCACAGTCCACAATGGGTTAGACTAGAGGTGTAGTTCTACACATTTACAAAAGTCTATATACTCATCCTCTTCCTAAATCAACATAAGGCTACGCTAATCAGCATAAGGTTTACAGTTTACACCATTATTCCATTGATTTCCAAATATTAACTAAAGATAAAGGTAAAATCTATCTCATTTTTGAACACCCCACGAATTATTATTAAGAAACGACAAACAAAATCAATGTTGGATATGAGTTTCTAATTCTTTGGAAGCTATGAAAACCGTTGGTTGGTAGTACAGGTGATATAATAGTATGAAAAAATATAGTTTTGACTAGAAAACAAGCGTCCACTAATCTTCGTAAAATGGATATTAAATGAGGTCACAATATAAGATTTGGTAAAAGTTTGGTTGATATGTGTTTTTATATATTTATTGAATGAAGGTAGCGTGGTTTACCATTCCACAAACCACTATGTTCCCCCTAATAATAGTTCTTTATTCTTTTTTAATATAAAACTTATATTTTATATATTAACTGCTTAGTAAATATATCTAATGTTTCCATCCATTCCATTTCTTATTTAGTGAATTCTTAATTTATTTTTCTTAACTAGATTTAACTTTTTCTAACTATATCCCACCCCAGAGTTGAAGCATCTATGTACGATACAAAACCATGTCAATTGCATTAATTCCAAATGCTTAATTTTTTTCCAAGTGATCATCATTAGAATGCCACATTAACTTGATTTACTAAAAATGTCTAGATCTGAGTTTAAAATATATAATGAATCTTTATGTATTTTCTGGTTTGTGCAAGACATTGTATATATATCCACTTGTTTTCATGGTTTATTCGACATGCTGACAAAATCTTTACTATATTAGTGTTTGAGTTTCGATCGTCACAAAGTCGACAAACTGGTTTGATACACAAGAAAACAAAAGAAAAACGAAAAAACGACACAATTATTGAACGTGAGTCGGTTGGTATGACATACGTCCACACGTAGGAACTTGTGAATTTTTCTATAGTTGATTGTTTCAAAAATGATTACATTGAGGTACTTATAACCATAAACTCTAACGGTTATAAACTCTAACAACTACATGGCAGAACCCATATACAAGTAAATCCAGAATAACTAAACATCTCCATGTCGTAGGCCTAATTAGTTTACTACTTAAAAAACACATTTTTCGAGGGACAATTTCCTCAGAAAAGTTGTGCGTAGGAAAAACCCTCATGGAAACTTGAGGGATTTCTAAGGAAACTTCCACGTCACACATTAATATGCTTATTTCCTTTCGAAACGACCCTCACTCTATTCAAAACATTTTTCCCTTCGAAATCGCCATATGTGTTTTATTTATTCTATTTCAGATCAAGTTATCTATTTTGGTCACCAAATTCCAAGTGGCATTTTTCATATTTTTGTCAATAATCGTTAAAACGTTAAGACTGTTTGATATCTTCTAAAGATACTGACTTCAAATCTTATATTCAAATGGTAAAAGTTTCAACCTTTATGATGGCTGCTCCAGATATAAGGGAACTACGAACGTCCAAAATAATAAAATTGCATGGCTAATAATATTTTATAACAAACAATAATACAAGAACAACCGAAAACTCCAAGAAGGTTGCTAAGCAACTTCCTTTCCTTCGTTCATTGCACAAATTCAGCATTGTTATAAAATAATCGGCATAGCAAATACAATTCGGTTTACAATACGTCACTCCATTTGCATATAAGAACCACAAAGGCTCAAATAGTTTGCAACAAGTTCACTCTCTCACCCCATGCAAAACTAAAAATTGTATGTGAATTTGAGGTATCTGAGTGTTGGAAGATGGGTAGGCCTCCTTGTTGCAGTGAAAGTAGCGATTTGAAGAAGGGACCATGGACGCCAGAAGAAGATGAAGTTCTTACGACTTACATTCAGAAACATGGCCATGAAAGTTGGCGAGCACTACCTAAGCGTGCTGGTTTGAACAGGTGTGGAAAGAGTTGCAGGTTGAGATGGATTAACTATCTTAGACCCGATATCAAGAGAGGAAACTTTTCAGAAGATGAAGAAATTCTCATCATTAACCTCCATTCCACTCTTGGAAACAAGTACGTTTCTTTCGATTTTATTTAATTATCGATTTATCATGTCAAAGGTACAACTTTTTAAATTTTTTATCTAATTGAAATTTGGAACATGTACACTATAGATGGTCTAGAATTGCTTCACAACTTCCGGGGAGGACCGATAATGAAATCAAGAACTTCTGGAATACCCATGTCAGGAAGAAGCTTCTCAAGGCAGGAATCGACCCAAAAACACATCAACCGGTTCCTAATATAACTTTCCTTCTTGACACAATTTCCAAGTTAAACCTTCCATTAAAGGCCCCAGCTATAATGAGTCCATGGATCAACAATATTAATGATCAATTGTTGAACAATTTATTGCAATTTGTAAACATGACCCCCCTACCAAAACCAACTTTCTTGGATTCACAGTGTTATATGGAAGAAATGGTTAATCAGTATGCGATAAATCGTTCTGAAGATTGGATGGAGTATGTAAACAACGTTTCTTTGGAACCACATAGTGAATGTGATTCCATTGGTGCAAGCTTGATGGGAAGCTACGGAAATGGAACTGAGATTCCTGAATTGTTTACTGATCTTAAAAGCATGAGCCACAACTTGTTTATGGAGAATCAGCTTCCTGGTATACTCCCAATGTCTCCTGAAGAACCCATGAACCTCAAAAATTCACTAGAATCTAACGCGTTTGATACTGGATTTGATGATTATTATGAATCTCTTTTGAAGATTTAGCAATAGAGTACATGACCGCATTCTTGTATTATGATTCAATAAGGTTTGAACTGATTCCATTAATGTTTGATAATTCCAGTCAATTAAGTTTGTATTAATTTCATTCAATACATTTCGAGCAATGTACATACGATTATACATGTGTATAAGTTGATGCTTATGTTGTTATGTGTTAGTGATGACCTTGAGATATGTAACGAGAGAAGTAGATCAGGTTAGATGAAATGGTAAAAGATCAGTTGCTTGTAAAACATAAATGTGTTTGTTGAGCTTTTCACAACTAAAAGCATCCATGAAAATGACTTCCTTTCTTTTATTTTATGTTCTTAAATCATTCTTGTATTTTTTTTCTTCCTTTTTTTTTATAATCCATTTAAATTTTTAGTTATTATTAAGAAAAAACGAGACCAAAAAAAAACCAACAACAGATTGTAATTTATTAACTAAAATTCTATTTTTGATTTCTAGTCATCAAACAACAATCAAGTTACATTCTTGACCAATTGCTATAGTTAAAAATTAATATGATACACTTCAGTCATGTCTGGATAGAACAAGCCAAAATGTTGCTCGACCCCTGGATCCTTTTGGTTCTCGTTAAAAAGTGCAAAAACATATGTCTCCACATTCTTGTTGGGCTTCTTAGGAGTACCAGAACCACGCACGTGATTCAAAAGATTCTGATTATAGGTCCGAGCCAGTTCAGGTGTCGTGAAATTACCATTCCCTTGTGACGGCCATCCACTCTCACAAATCACCACCTCAACACCACCTGCACCAACCTTTTCCAATGCCGAGTAAACCGCATCAACCATGGCATCAAACATATTCTTATACCCCAGATCTCCGTCTCTCACTACAACATCAGGAGATGTGAATAACACGTAGGGTAATGAAATTGAACCCGGTTCATTGGCGTACGCAAAGTAAGGGTACGCTGTGACCAAAAGAGGGAAACCGTTGTTTGCCAAGAAACCTGCGATGTGTTGCATTGCTGGTTTCACAGCACCTGAAAAATCTCCATGTGAAGGAGGAAATGAAGCTCCTAGTGAGTTAAGGGGGACGGCTGTGCTCACCGGAATTCCACCAAGATTGAAGGATTTTAAAGCTGCGTTCATATTTTGCATGGCCGGGAAAACCGAATTAGTCATATCGCCAGGGATTACTTCATTACCAATGGATATGCAACGGAATCTGATCGTTTGTGCGTATGGGACAATTTTGGATTGTACCCATGCTTTTGCAAAGTTGATATCTCCTGCAAGACTGGGTATATCTTGATTGAAGGTTCCAATTATCACTTGGATTCCGGAGTTTTGTAGAGCGTTAAGAACGTGTACATCGGGGCTAAAGATACGAACTCGTCCTATGTTTCTTGATTTTAAGAGGTTTACGGCATTGGATGGAGGAGGGAGGTTGTTTCCCAGTAGTCCGTAGTTAACTCCAATACCACCACCATCTGCGAATCAAACGAAATCAAAAACATATTTAGAAATTTAAGAAGTATAATGATTTCAAATATTATGCATTATGAAGATTAATGAGGAACACGTTACCAGCAAGCAAACTAAGATAAATTATAAGAACACACACGACGCTGATTGAAGGTAGAAGTGAAGCCATTTCGCTCCTAGTTTTCTTGTTGTAAGTTGCAAGAAAAGCTGTTATGCTTTAGGCTTTATATAGTGTAATTAAAACTGGAGATGATCGGTCTCGTATGTATGAGTACATGCACAAGATGACGATAACATTAATTTCAAAATTGTTACACATTGAAACATAAAATGACAAACGAAATTTGTTGAACTCTAAGAGATTGTAATATTGTTGTAATATTACTAAGAATTAAATAGGTAAAGTTGGATCTATGTAGAAAAATATTTGTTTGAAACAAAATGAAAATAAAAAAGAATACATAATAGTTTTGGGTAAATGACATTTTTGTCCATGTCCTTAATTAGTTTTATGGGTATGGTCCCTGAAAAATACTATTGTCATATTTTAAGTCCCTAAGCCATTTGACTTGATGAAAAGTATATATACAAAAGTCTAATAATGAAATATAATTAAATAAGAAATCAAAGAATCAGTTGTTGGAATTCAAACGATCTACAACGTTGTTTATGTATTAAGGCCCCGTTTGGTGAGGAGAACTAGATGGAACAGAACATCACTAAACTTTTTAGAGGGTGTTTGGCATGACTGGAACAAGAACTAATTGGAGGTTTGACCAAGTCCAATGAGTATTGAAATCTCTTTGTGAATGATTTTTGATTATTTCTCTTGCTATCATGCGATTGGTGTAAACCAACACAAAAACACGCACAATTTTACTACTGCCTGCGTGTTTGGGAATCCAGCTTTCTTGCTTCGATTTCTAATCAAGGCGAGATGATTTCCCTACATTTTCTCTCTTATTTTATCAGCATTTTTGCTAGGATTCTGGGTTTCTTTTACCCTTTAAGATGATTTCATGTTATGTGTGAGTATGCGATGATCAATCTTCATCTGAATCTGTTTACACTTTGTTTTTTGATTAATAACTTGTTAAGCACAAATTTTTCACCTAAATACTTAGGATCATTTTGAAATTTGAACTGGAGTAGTTTTTCTTTACTACACTTAATATTTTTGGGATTCAATTGATTATATGGATCTGATTTTTTGTCATGAATTCGAGTTCTGGGGATTTAATTTTCTCTTATAACTGAGTAGTTTTCTGATTATACTACCAAAAAGAATAATGTTTTTGTATGTTTTTATACTACCTGCATCTGTTAACACATGGAATGAATAAAAGATGTCATTAGACTTCACATTTATTTAGACTAAATTGCCCCAAGTTTTTGTTTCTGCCTACTTTATGATAAAGATACAAACTAGTTATTGGGAGGCTTAATTAAGCATAATTTTTGTCAGAACTTTGTCTAGTTTGTGTTGTTCATGTCCATTTCATGTTGTAGAAACTCAATTTATGACGAATATGTCCCTATAATTAGTTGTTATTACTACATGTAGACTTTATGTTGTTCCTTCCCGGTTCATGTTATATATACTCAATTTTGGACAAAAATGCCCTTGTAGTTTCCTTTTGTTTTTAATTAGCTTTTTTATTTCTATAGACTCCTCATGGCATTTCATTTATATAATAATATTAATTTTTATTTGTCGTTACTATTTTTTCCCATCTTCGTCTCTCAAACGTGTTTCTTTAAAATCAGTAAAATGTTGTTGTTTTACTTGTTTTTTATAAACTTTGTAGATATGGATAGAAATCATTTGATCCTGTTTGTGAAACTATTGGAGAGTTATATTCAGTTGTTGATGTGCCTAGCTACAATTAGAGTTTGGTTAATTGAATGTGAGGAAAAAGAAGCTCAAAGGATAGATCTAGGTAATAATACATTAGACACCCTTTCAAAAAGGTTTACAGAAATACATCATATCACACGTGAAAGTGATGATAATTGTATATACAAGTTACGTATGGATAGGAATACATTTGCAGTTTTGTGTGATTTACTACAAACTCGTGGTGGTTTATTATATGATGGTTTAGTGACCATTGAGGAACAAGTTGCTACATTCCTAAATATATTAGCACACCACAAAAAAAAACAGATGTATTCAAGTTAGATTCTATCGGTCAGGGGAAACAGTAAGTCGGTATTTTCATCGTGTTTTAGATGCTTTAATGCGTTTGCAAGAGATATTGTTTGTCAGACCAACGCCTGTTGCAAATGATTGTACAGATAACCGGTGGAAATGGTTCCAGGTAACCATTATAATATTATTTTGATATATTACAAAATATAGGTTTTTAACTAACAATGCGTTAAAATTTTATTTATAGGGTTGTCTTGGAGCAATTGATGGAACTTATATAGAAGTTAATGTCCTTGACTCTGATAAACCAAGGTACCGAACAAGAAATGGTAGTATAGCAATGAATGTGTTAGGTGTCTGCAATCGTGACATGAATTTTGTATATCTCTTAGCTGGTTGGGAAGGTTCAACTACTGATTCAAGGGTTTTGCGGGATGCCATTACTAGACATAATGGATTAAAAATCCCAGTTGGTAAGCTAATATAATAATTACTAAATAGTTATTATAGGTAAACACATAGTTACATATTCATACCTTTTACTTTATTTATTATAGGTAATTGTTATTTGGCTGATGGAGGATATATCAATGGTGAAGGTTTTTTAGCACCATATAGAGGTATTAGGTATCATTTACGAGAATGGGAAGGCAATACACGTGCACCTACAAATAAGGAGGAATACTTTAACATGAAACACTCACAAGCCAGGAATGTTATTGAGAGGTGTTTTGGTCTACTAAAGAGACGTTGGGCTATATTAAGAAGTCCTTCATTTTATCCAATAAGAATTCAAGGGAGAATAGTCATACCATGTGCTTTGTTGCATAATTTTATTAGGACACACATGGCTTTGGATCCAGAAGAATACACGTCAAGCACTGTTGAAGATATGCCTATCGGGGAAGAACAACCAAATCAATTTCAAATTGTCGATGTTGTTGAATCAAGTAATGAATGGACTCAGTGGAGGGATGATTTAGCCCAAGAAATGTTTGAGTTTTGGATGTCAACTAGATCTCAGTAGATTTTTTTTTGTAATTAATTTTAGAACTTCTTTTTAAGTTTGTTATTCATAATTGTTATGGATGTGAACAACTTTTAACTTTGTGTATGTTTTTTTTTATTAATTTAAACTAACTTCATGGATGATTTGTTTTAATATTTTCCATTTTTATCTATTTACCTTTGTTATGTATGATATGTCAAAAACAGATAACAAATCATGGCAGATAGGCGTCAATGGACTCAAGAAGAAGAGGATGCGTTGATTACCATCCTTCAAGACATTGTTGTCATCGGTGGTAGAGGTGATAATGGAAGCTTTAGGCCTGGAACCTATGATCAAGTCGTTCTAAAGTTACGGGAAAAAGTCGTTGGTATTAATATAACAGCAAAGCACGTGCAAAACAAAATCAAGCGTTTAAAGGATAAGTTTTCTGCTGCATATGATATGCAAAATACAAGTGGATTTGGTTGGGATGATGTTCGCAAATGTGTAGTAGTTGATTCTCCTGAGATATTAGAGGAATATCTAAAGGTTAGTGATTATATATATATATATATATATATATATATATATATATATATATATATTATTTTTCTGTGTGTCTAAGTATTAAATATATGATTTTACCTGTAACTTTGTTTGTTTTACTAGAAACATCCAAACAAAAACTATGTCGCGAATAAACCATTCCCTGCATACGAGCGACTAGCAAATGTTTTTGGTAAAGATCGAGCTACAGGTGGTATGGCTGAATCGGCGGCTGATGTGACACAAAATCAAAATATTGATAACGAAGAAGGAGAAAGTTTACCATCGTCCAATTCTAATCCTCAAAACATTGCAACTTCCTCCAATCCAAATCTGAAAGACTCCTCGCAAAATAAAAAGAGAAAAGCGGCATCTGAAGAAGTAACAGATATAATTGGAAAGGGGTTAGCTGTCGTATCCGAGGAAATCCAGAAAATGACTAGGGCTATTACTTCTTCTACTAATGACCTCGCAGGGTTAAAAACCATACATGAAGAGTTGAAGACCATGGAGTTGTCTTCTTCAGAAATCACGCGGGTTTGTTTAAAATTTACAAAAAACTTGAATTTGTTACCAATGTGGAATAGCTTAGATGCAGCTACCAACCCACTTTTTGTGAAGACTATATTAGAAGAAGACAATTGAAGTTTGTTCTTTTTTTATTTATTTAAATTAAGGATTTTGGAAACCATTTTGGTTTAGAAATTTGTTAATTTTGAAGCAATTTGGATTACTTGGTATTAGAACTAGTTTTAATATGAGAATTTTAAATATTTTTTTTAATAAAAATGTTTATTTTCAAGTTATGTATGTTAAATTGTGTTATCTTGAATATTTTTTGTAAAAGGGTAATATGGTCATTTTTACATATTGTTCTGTTCAATACTATTGTTGCCAAACAGTTTCTGACAACTTGTTCTGTTCTGTTCAGTTTTACCAAACGCTATACAAATTATTTGTATTGTCCAGTCATGTTCTGTTCAGTCCAGTCCAGTCCAATTCTGTCCCATCCAGTTCTTCTGCCAAACGGTGCCTAAGGGTCGTTCCAAACATATTTTGGACCCAGGACGAGAGAGAAAAAAAAGTCCTTAAAATACACAAATTTCATCAATTATTTTATAATAACTCAATAATTGAAAGAAAATTACTTATACTAGCTTCCAAATACAACATTTTCGATTACAAAAATCCATATATTTAAAGAAAAATACTTCTTCTAGCTTTTTTAGATAATTAAATTATCTATTCTAACAGCCTACAAACTCCATTAATCTCTCGGCAAATAATTAAATTATCTATCTGTATCTTCGTATCGCTACTTGTGATACAAGAGACTGAGTGGGTCAGGTTGAGAAACATGGTGACTACATAGGGTTTTCAACCCAAAATATTATAACTCCCGTTATTTTCACTCACTAATCCTAATATGATGATCTCGGGGGATATTTCTTAAATGACCTTTATTAGCAGACATTTATAA